CCTCAGCAGCCCCAGCAGTAGAATGGCCACTTAAGCCCGCCAAGGACCCCACGGAATGGCCCCGACCGTCCTCGTCTCTTTGTGTCTCGGACACATTTTGTGCTCGCGGGGGTGTAGGGCAAGCGAAAAGGGCGGGAAAGGGACGGGGAGGGGCAGAGCCAGCCGAGACAGAAACACTACTTGTATTCAGATTCAGTTTCAGATATCTCGCAGGTCATTGTTGTTGTTGTTGATAAAGAGCGAGGAATGAAAAAGTCTTGCCTTACTGGGCGCGACTAGAAGGAAAATTAGCCCCCCGCTGCCCTCCCCAGACACGCCGCTCCATTTTCCTAATCATCGTGTGTGTGTGGTGTTGTTTCCTTTCCTTCCTCTATAATTGGGGAGTATTTCCAGATAGTGGTTCGCATTTGAGATGAGTTTTGCCGTCTCGGCATCTGACTCTCCCATGGTATTCACCAATTTGCGTCCACTGGCGGGTGCTGGCAGGCTCGCTCTCCGACGGGACGCGTCCGCGTCGCTCCGGCGTTGGCGCCTAGGACCGTTTCGACGCACTTTAGGCCCTACAGCGCCGCGGAGGGGCGCGTCCGCGACGACCGCGTTGGGGGTAGGGTTGGGAGGGGTTGAAGAACTTGTCTTCCCATCCTCCCCACCCCAGCACCGCACGCGCTACAAATCTTGCCTTACTTTTTTTCCCGACACCGACAGCCCTCCTGCTTTTGCTCCTACTGCTGCTGGTTGCTTGTGGCTCGCAGGATATGCCGCCTTTGTGGTTTGCATACTCCTCCCTGCCATTTTTTAAAAGGCTCTAGTGGCCTCGTAACTAGTAACCCTCCGGTCATATCCCTCTGCCCCCTCTATCTCACTTGCTCCCTCCCCCTTCCCTCTTTTCACCATCGTATCTCTCTCGTTGTCTCTGAATCTCTCTCTCACTCTCTCACTGACTACGGTGTGTTCGTGTTTCAGATGGCCAGCTCTACGCTGCGACTGCGGCGGACTTCTCCGGGGGGGACCCCCTCATCTACAGGAACCCCCTTCGCACGGAAAGGGCCGATCTCAAGCAGCTCAATGGTCAGTTTCGGATGAATTGTACAGACCATATTCGCCGACATAGTCGAAAAATGAAGTCTAAAATACTTTCATTATTCAACTGGCGGAACCGCGATTACGTAATTTAATCATTTTCACCTTGCCTGCATATTTTTACTGTCACTCTTGTTTCAGGGCCGAACTTCGTCAGTACCATGTCCTATGGAAACTTCATCTACTTTTTCTTCCGGGAGACAGCCGTCGAATACATCAATTGTGGAAAGGTGATTTGCTTTAAAAAGAAAAATCCCGCGCTCCTCATTTGTCGCCTCAACGGAGTACTGTGGGGGTGATGAGAGCCCGAGAAACTCTACTTATTGATCCGTCGTAGGGAACAACCATGGTGATGTTTTCACATGCTTATCTTTGTTTCTAGGCGGTGTACTCAAGAGTTGCCCGGGTATGTAAACAGGACAAGGGTGGGCCCCATCAATTTGGGGACCGTTGGACGAGTTTTCTCAAATCCCGGTTGAACTGCTCTGTACCGGGTGACTATCCGTTTTACTTCAACGAAATTCGTAAGTATATTTTTCAGCTGTTATCGTTAAATGCAGACTGTACAAAATCTAATATTCATTCAAATGTTATCACTATTCAAGATTGTGGAATTTGGTGGAATTTTGCCATCAAATTGATGTTGACTCTCTTAAGTCAATTTTGCGTCAATTTTATATCAAAATTACACAAAATTTCTTAACCTGAATTCTGTAACTGACTGGCAGGTGCACTAAAATTTGACAAATAAAGCTTTCCAGTAGAGCTAAAAAGAAGAAGAATGCGGGTAACAACAAAACAGAAATTACTTTACTCTACTGTTTACTTGCTCTCCGCATTCTTCTGCATTTCAGCTTTACCTGAATGCTTTATTCCTGATGAATCTCTGTAACTTAGGTGTGTATATTCACTCCAAGGTTTTATACTAAAAGTTAAATGTATTGCTTTACAGAGTCCATGAGCCCCATAATAGAAGGAAGATATGCAGGCCAAGGTGAAGAGCTGCTGTACGGGGTGTTCACAACTCCTGTAAACTCAATTGGGGGATCTGCCATCTGCGCCTTTAGGATGCGAGACGTTCTTGGAAGTTTTGACGGACCATTTAAAGAACAGGAAACAATGAATGCCAACTGGTTACCTGTTCAATCCATTAAAGTGCCTGAGCCAAGGCCAGGAACATGTGTGAATGATTCTCGTACACTACCAGATGTGGCTGTCAATTTTGTGAAATCCCATACACTTATGGACCAGGCTGTCCCAGCTTTCTTTGGAAAGCCAATTTTAATCAGAGTTAGCTTGCAGTAAGTTCCACTCGGAGTTAGTGTCTTGTCTCAGGTTTAATGCAGAGGTATAACTTACTCTTATGTGTCACATTATAGGTACAGGTTGACTGTGATAGCTGTTGACCCTCAAGTTCGGGCTCCTGATAACAAAGCATACGATGTTCTATTCATTGGCACAGGTAATAATAATTCACCTTTTCCTCAGATGGTATGATAACAGGTTGCTTCCCTATTTCTCTAGACTTTATTTTTGTCTCTTGAATTTTTCAGATGATGGGAAGGTTATAAAGGCATTAAATACAGCTTCCCCGAGAAACAACACAGTTAAAACTGTTGTTGTTGAAGAAATCCAAGTTCTTCCAAAAGAATTCCCTGTTAAAAATCTCCATGTTGTTCATCTGGATGTGCCTTCTGGACAGCAACGCACTGACAGAGATGACAAACTTGTTGTGGTGTCAGATGTTGAAATTATGTCTGTCAAACTCCAACACTGTGATAAAGTGTCCACTTGTGTGTAAGTAAAGTGTATTTGGTACTTACATTTTATGGTCACCAGAAACAATTTTTTTTTAGAATATTGACCCAAAACCTTACTTTTCTAGGGATTGTGTCGCTCTTCAAGATCCATACTGCGCATGGGACACAAAGGAAGAGAGGTGTGTCACAAGTAGAGGTAACAGTGACTGGAACATGAAGCGATTCCTCCAAGATGTTGAGGGAGGGCAACCACGAACATGTGGTTCTTCAGGTGTGTATTACTTAAACTTTCATCAATCACTGCGTGATTTTTGTAAACTGTTCCTTAATAGTACAGCATATGCTGTTTCTTCTGATGCCTAGCATAAAATAATAATAGTAGAATTTAGAAAGTCCAACACATTCTAAAACCAAAAAAAAAGGGGGGGGCAGAGCAGGAAAAGCATTCCATATATGATACAAGATGTAAATACACATGGGATATAGTTGAACTTGATTACCCTCTAATATTCATAAATATTTTCAATTCCTGCTCTTTTTTTTTCATGTGAATGTGAAGCTTAAACCAAAATAAAATAGCTCTACCTAGAAAATATTAACATTATGAATAGAACTTCTGCACCAGCATTTTACTGGCTGCTGCTGCTTCAAGCATTTATGTAAACTGTCCATGCTTAAGCATAATGATGCACAAGGAAGACTGTGATCATGTTCTGGCGAAAGACCTGTATTGTCTGCTATGTTGTCCTAGTTTGTCCTTACTGTTTTTGCTGTTGCAATATCAAATAACTTCAATTGCATACATTTTAGGAGTCTAAACCACAATTGCTCTAAAGGTGCTCCTTCCAAAGGACTCATTACCTATCACTACAGTTTTTTAATTTACTAACACCCAGGTGTTGGTTTAGTGAGGTTTAGATTGTACAGAAATGCAATAAAAATAGTTGCACAAGTTACAAAGATATTTGTTTCTCTTTAAGAGGTACATCAGGACCAAAATACCTTCAAAATTTGAAAAAAAATTGATTTAGTGTTGCATACTAGGTAATAATTTTAATTCACATAAATGCAAGGACTTGTGTGATGGCTAATGGGTTGTAGTGGGTCTTTTGGGGAGGGCACCCCAAAATTTTGATTCATCAATGAAACAAAACACATATAACATTTAAACATCTATCTAATGATGGGATGATAGTGTATGTGAAATCCCTCGGCTTATGCTGGCTTTTCATGCTATAGCTTGTCTTACGCTTGCTTTCAGTTCGTGCGCCGCAGGAATCCCTATCTCGGGACTACAATAGAGTAACTGGTAAGTAAATAATGTTTACAAGGATAAAGTTTGGTGCGCAGGTATTTTCTTATCTTGATATTAGCATACAATCCTGGAAGAATTTTATGGGATGGTTCCCAAGTATACACCTTCTGTACTACAAAAATTAAAAATTCAGTCATGGTGCAATTTTTTTTCTTTTAACCTCCTTTAAAACGATGGTACAGTGTATAGTTTCTAAATCTTCAATTAGGTTTTATTTAAAAATAAATTCTAATTACTATTTTCTATCTATTCTATATTGGACCCAATTTCAGAATAAGTGTGTGCCTCCTATTTTTTAAAACTTTGTTTGTTTAAAAAATGTTCTGATCCGTAAAGCAAAAGAAATTACGTACATTCTACAGAAATTAAACATAGGTCAATGGCTAATTTTTCTGCAGAAACCATAGATGTATCTGACCAAGATGTCGAAATGGGGGAGAAAATGTCAACCCTACCACCTCAAGCCTGTCCAGTATGCCCCATATGCCCCATTTGTTCGTCCGCTGCCTTGTGTGCCTCTACCACTACAGCCTCCACTACATCCTCTCCAGATGTCCCCTACACAACTGTGCCCATGGGTCAGTTGCGATAATTATTTGTTGAATGCATTATGTTGAGTTCAACTCCATTGCTACTCTAACATTGGTGGTGCGTTAGTGAACACACTGCTTTGAGGGTAGCTCCTATGAAATAATTAACTATTCCTCACTTTCATGAATATTACTCCCCTCTTGCAGTTAACCAAGCTGCGTTTTGTGCTCAGACAAATTATTAGAGGGAATGGAAGGTGGACTTGGTGGTTGGCTCTTGTGTAGCATGACTTTACTAGGCATTGTATCATCCTCTTGTATGTGCTACAGCTCTTATAATGTAATTTTCTTACCCCTAAATACACATTCAACACATATGCCCTATGCTACCCGCTGCTGTTAGTTTAAATACTTTTGTTAACTTGAATTCTTTGCATGAATAATAGTTAAGGGGACTAAATTATCACTACTGAAACTTCTCTTTCTCTCAATAACCTGCATTGCACTGCTTCTTTTGTGCACTGGTGATGGGAATCTTAAGTCTCTTAACTATATAATAAGAATTGATAGCCTTTCACCATCATATATGATTAAATGGTGGCGGTCATGGTCATGGTACATCAGCAAGAATATAATAGCTGTTTCGTTCTATTTCTCTCTTACATAATGGTATACCATATTGTTACTAAGAGCCTATAATTTTCATTTTATTAAAGTCGGCCGGCAACAGTGAACTTTAGAAAGGCTGTCAAATAATGTTCGGATTCATTTTTCGTGGTAAAACAGCATCACAGTCCAATTTTAGCTGTTATTGTCCACAAGTTTGACTCATTATGTGTTATTCTTCATTTCTTTACCATGGGCTATCTGTGCTTTATGTGTTTCATTTCATGTTGTCATGGCTAATGGTGTTTGCAACCTGCTCGTGTCTTGTCAGGCGCTGCCTCTCCTGCACATACCTCTTTTGTCCATCACTCACATGGGATGTCAGAACCAGATATTCACAATGAAATTGTGATACAAGTGGATGAAAGAAACATCATTTCTGATACCCTTGCAGGTATCAGTCAAGCAGGTAAGATAGTCTCAGAAACTCTGCCATTAATCCATTGATTTTAACACTCTCATTGATAGCATTTCGTTCACTTCACTTTATTTGTGAAAACATCGCCCTGCCAATGGTTGCATGCTTGACCAACATCCAGTAATAAACAGTTTTCACACAGTTTACATACCATTCATCACATTCTTCATTTATTTCTGTTTGGGATTGTGTTTCTTTCCTTCCTGTATTTCTTTCTGTCTCTTCCTTTTAACTATATTCAAGTTATTCACTACCGGTAACAGCCTTGTTTTTATTTTTTTATTTATTATTTATTTGTGGACAGTAGGAACCAACACACATGACAGCTCTGGTATCCATGTTGGTTACTTAAGTTTAGGATGTTTGCATGTTTTCTTGAAAGCCATGAGCTCCCTCAATATTTGTTTATTTTTATGCTGTCGTTGATGACCTTGTTCTCTCTCTGTTGCAGGGTCCAAAATGGCGCCAACTCAAATACAGTCTCCATTCTACTCTGCACAGACACTTGTGATAGCAGTTGCTCTTGCAGTTCTTGCTGCTCTTGTTGTTGGCTTTGTAGCGGGGTTTCTTTTTTCAAGGCGTTGTCGGTCAGACGAGTATGTCGACATGCCCTTTCCCGATCAGAGACACCAACTGAACAGGTATGTCTCAATTATTTCAATAATTACATTCGAGATATAGCTAGTTTATGGTGTTAAATTCTGACCTAATGCTGCCTTTATTTTTTTCAGACTGACAGATGGCAGCCTAAATCCAGATTCAACTGCCTATTTGGGTCCTTGCACCAACAACAAAGCCATCAATCTGGTACTCAATGTACCTCCCAAAAATGCCAACGGGAAGAACGCGAACTCATCAGCAGAGAACAAACCGATACAGAAAGTGAAGAAGACGTATATTTAGCAGCAGGGTGCCCTCTCTCTGGCGGTCAAGCTTTGTGTTGCCAATCCCGTCAAGAAGTTCTTGCGTGTCCGTCGGAGGAGGAAACATCGAATTTTTGAGCTTTCCAAAGTTAAATCCCTGTGAATGGACTGGGTGACCTTTGATGGAAAAGCTCCTTCTACATTTACCATTTGCGAATTTGTTTGTCCATGTGGATATCAATTCCTTTGAGTAAAAGACTGTACGTGTCATTCTGAAGCATTTAGAAAGGACTTAACAAGCTGCAGTGTACTGGTGTGGTGCCTCCCTTCTACCATAGGATTACGTTCCAGAGTAAAATGAGTGCACCATGTGTGATGATAAGAATAGATGAGAAGTGAACATGTATGTGATAAAAATCTTTTGCTGCTCTCTAATATTACTGACTGCTGCAAATAGTGAAACATTAATTGTGTCATGTGCATTTTAAGTGTTGGGTATTTCAAGCCAAAGGACACTGTTTTGAGAGTAGATTCTGAAATAATTGTAGAAAGTCTAGGAAAGTTTTGTTCTAAGAAAAAAAGAAATATGTACAATTTTGTAGTTTCTCTGACAAAACAGATCCCATACAAGTAATTTGCATCTGTTGAATTCTACCAGGGTAAAGTTTGGATATCGTATCTGTTTGCAATGCACAAAAAGTAAACAATATGACATGCAAGCGAATGTTGTGCATGCTTGATTGTCGTGCCAATCTGAATCCTGTTCATAAATGAACATGATAGTCAACAAAAACATTTACCTGTAATAATTTGTATGTATGAAGATTGTTTTTCAAAGTTTGGAAGTTTCCAATTTTTTTAAAAAGAGAACACTTGTTTGTGTGCACAGTGAACAGGTACTGTACTTTAATTTTTGTCGGAATTGCCATGCTGGAGAGTGGAGGTAAAACAATTTAAGAAAAGCTATGTTCTAAGCTCAATGCTTCTTGGTTAATAATTCCAGATAATGGCAATGCTAGTGTTTTATGTGATTCATTTGCTTTTGTACAGCTGAGTTCAGCACACTGTGAACACAGACAAATTAAGTCATTACAGTTTTTACTTGTTTTAATAACTTTATTTTAAGATGATAGTGTATGTAATTGTATGTATATTTAAAAGAAATTATCATGCCTTTATTTGATTTTAAGCTGCAAATTTTATAGCAAGTATTATATTTCTTATGACTAGAAAAAAAGCCAATTTTGTACAGTTATATATTATGGACATTTTTAGAATGCTCCCAGAGTTAAACCACCTTTTTTGTACATGCTTCCATGATGTCTCACTAGCACGACTTTGGCATTAACAATAAGCTGTTTTCTTGTTTGGACCATCAAATAATTATTAAAAAAAGAATGCTGTTGTAATTTGTTTGTACATACTACTGGTTATTTGATTCGAACAAGAGTCGTGCTGTGATCTCAGTGTGATGTGTCATGGTAATTGTTACGTGATGGCCAAAAGTTTTTCAGAAGCCTGCAGAGGTGTTATTCCTCTTCATGTCTTAGAAATTTTATTACGTAACAGTTGTACAGTACATTATGTTAGATATTAGGTTTAAAACTGATTTATTCCTGTCTTCTTAAGGCTGATGAGTTCAGAGCTTAGCTCTTTTTTTGCTGTAGTTTGCTAAACATGCCCTTTTGTTAATGTTTATTTGTCAGTCTTGAGAACCTCAACTGATTCAAGGACAGTTTGTCATGAAAGACCTACCAACCCTTGAGTTAAATGTTTTAGTGCAATATTTAAGCTATGTGCAATGTAAGAATTTACATGATGGAATTGACCTGGAGACATTTTAAATTTTTTTTGTTTACAGATTTTTGTGTGATCAAAAATGACAAGCTGTGTCTATTCTTCTCTGGTGCTATCTTCAGCACTATACTCATCTACTTTGTTTTAAATTCAAGTTGGTGCTTTGGCCATTTTTGATAAGAAAAGAAATTGAAACGAAAGAGGGACTAGATAGCATTTGTTGTGTTATCAATGTAATTTTTATTTTAAAAAACTGCCAGATGCCTCATACTTGTCTACTTGACAATAATTAGCTTTACTTCTTAAAATTTTATATCTATTACTAAAATATTGCAGTGCAATAGATTAAAGCTCCAAAGTCAGACAGCAGAAAACAAATATTGAGGCATTCTTTTAATTACAAAATGATCTCACTCCTATCAGAAAATATAATTGAATACATAGTTCTGAAGCATTCGCCTGACCCCTGTAATTGTTTCAAAATTGTTTGGGCCTTTTCTTCCAAATTCTCCAGTATGTTTTTGCTTTCATTGATAGCCTTTCTCTTTCCGCTTATGTTTGTTTAGTTTCCTATTTTCCTAGGTATGTACATAAGAATTGTTGCCATTGAAATGTGTAATTGTTTTGTTTGCTTTGTGTGCAGGCAGCTTTGTTATGTTTTATCTGTGTACTGGACAGCAATTAGAGCTATAGAGGACCAGAAAGTGTAAGTAATTGTAAAATTTACACCATATATTTTTTACTGGTAATTTTTTATGAGTGCATTTGAGGTTTTTCTGTAGGTACCTTCAGTTTCAAAAGCTTCATCGGTAATTATTCTGCTTCATTTTCAAACTTTTAACAATTATTATGTGGTAAAGATATATTTTAATACATGCAAGTACTGAGCTCCACAGTTGGGTCACTTCTACATACTTAAGGCATTTCCCACCACCCCTTCCTAACCAGAATCCAGCAGTATTAACTTCCATCTTTAATATTTATCATTTTAGGACATAGATATTTTTCAATAGTGAAAAGTTACTTTCTTTTATGGAAAAGGCCAATTTTTCCCTCTGTTTTTTTTTTTTTTAAGAAGCAAAGTGATTGTACTCTTCACTAGATTATTACAGAAGAATATGCAGTACATAATAACTGCACGGAAAGCTTAGGTCATCTGTAATATTTTTGGATGCTGATCAATTTCTAAACTGGCTCTTTAACATTCATTTTTGTTTTAATACTGTATAGGAATTGTCTTAGATAAATTTTTGTTTTAATTTCCGTAGAAGATAGTAATTGCCTCGGTAGTCTTCATCTGCACTGCAGTAAAGTTCTGTAGCTGTGTAATGCTAAGCTATTGACTTTTTAAGGTAAAAAGTAAATCCCTTATGACCAACAAAAAACCAACACTTTATCATATTACATTCATTCAGCTTTCTATACAAATTCCATATCAAAAATGGCATTTTAGTCATTTTTGTACAGCTGTTATTTTAGGCAGAAGGTTAAGTTTGATTAACAAACTGTCATCACTGTTTGTAGTCTTTGGTTTTATTGTATGGTTTGAAAAACAGGAAAATTTTGTAAGCAAAGACTGAGAGTTGATGAATATTGTAAATAATAGCTGATGTATATATACAGCATTGTTAAATGATAATTTTAAAATAAAATACATTTTATTATGCAACAAACAAGTAATATCTTGTGTCATAACACAGTTCTATAAAAAAAAGAAAACACATAACAAAACCTGTTACAGGTACACAAACAGAAATCTCATGCTTCTCTAACATTTCTATAAAAACCACAAACCAAAAAAACAACAACTATTTCAGCATGTTTCAGGTCAGAGGATATTTGTCTCATGAGCGGTGGTGAGGTTGAAGCTGCTTCAACTGTTTTGGAGCCCTGTAATTTTTTCAGCATTCAGGCAAGTAGCAAGCATATCTGACAATACTTATGTCACTGTAATGCCTTCCTCTGCCTACTTCAAGTCACTGAAGAAATCAGTGACCTCTTCCAGCTCTCTCTCGCGTGCTTGCTGGTGAGCCCATCGGTCTTCAGCTGTTTTATCAGTGACACGCCACTTGTCATGAAAGACTCTTTGTCCACAAGACGGGCATTTCTTACCACCTTTAATGATAAGATAAAAACAATTCACGATTCAATGCAACACAATTCAATACAGTAAGGAATGACATTTAATTATTAATCATCAAAAATCTTGCCTTGAAATGGTGGAGTTTTCATGTAGGTAATAAGACAATGTTGATGGAACAAATGGCTGCAGTACATTCTTTCAACATGCATGTCTGAATTCTCATCAGTTTCTGCTTCCTTGAGAAAGAAAAAAATATATGTTGATTGAGTATGATAAAATGTAAGTCCTAGTAGGATGACAAGGAACAAAGAGAATTTCCCACAAAACATTGCTTACCTCTGGATTTGATGGGAGGCAAGGCTGTTTACAGAGCTGACACTTTTCATTAGGGACTTCTTTGACAATTTTGCCAAGGAATGACAACACATGAAAAAGTGATGGCTTGGGAACAAATTGTTCATTTGCCTTTTTTTTGAGAGGTGGTTCAACACACTTCCTTGCAATTTCTTTAGCCTGTCCAACACAATAACGTTGGAACATAGGTGGGAAGTTTGTGTCAACATCCTGAAAACTGAAGTCATCGACCATAAAAAAGATTAGTTTAACTCAATAAATTTGCAGTTATGTAACATCTACTGAAATTCCTAACATACTCAATAGCCTTGGTTGGGTAATCCTCTGGGACAAGTACAGAAAGTTTTAGGAAGTAGCTGCCTTGAGTTGCCTTAAAAGTGAGAGAAGATGATTTCTGTTTTAAACGAAATTCATCACCACTGTCACCTGTAAGGTTGAGAACTTTTTCCTTCAGCAAAGATATTTCATCATAGCAGCATGAGAGAGGATTCTCATCAATAAAAGTCTGAATGAATTTTAAAAGTGGTAATATCTGTGGGAGAGAGAATCCTCAATTAGAAAAGTATGCTACATTATTCATTTAATTCATTAATAGTTCCATTATTAAATTTTCCACAATTAACTTCGCTTACCTGAGGTTTTCCAAGGTATTTTTTAATTTCTTGTTCGCACACACAAGTGAGTTTTTCTAATAATAAGTCAGACAAAGTTTTGCTTTTCAGTTCAATCAAAAGCGGAGAAGATGGATAATTAGTTGGAAACTGTGCACAAACCACAATAGTTTTGGTGGCCGTGCGACTGTAAAAGGTAATTCTTATCAATGGTACATGGAAAACACACTTATTGTACTATTCAAAAAGGGCTCACCTTATTTCGACTCGAACAATAGACTGAACACAAGACACAAGGCGAGAGCCTGGGATTGTACGCTCACAGAGCTTTGATACATCTTCAAGCTCGTATTCAATTAGGCCCATAGAAATAATTTTTTTCGCCACCTAGCTCTGTTAACACAATAGTGAAAGAAAAACTAATGTTACAAATAAGCAGAAGCAGACACAAATAACAATAGAGGTTAGCAGAAGCTTTATGAAACTTACAAGGTAGTGTAGTCTATAGATGCCAGCACTAAGTAAGTACCGAATTGCAAACCCTTCAAACAGTGCGTTAAAATTTTTCAGATATGGATAGTGGCTTTGGGGTCAGTCTAAAACACTAAATAAAAAACAACAATTTTATGTGACTGGAGAGTCTGACCACCCAAACAAGAGGTAGGAGGGTGAAGAAGGAGTGGGAAATGCGTCGATAAATCCCTCATACCGCGGAAACCCAAGAGGTGCGAATAGTCACTCCCCAATTTAAAGATGGCCACCTGTTGTTTACTTTTTTCATTGCGTTCGGTCGGCCGGTTCGGCGGTTCGGCGTGTGAAACGTTGGTCAACCGATCGTCGATTTCTGCGTAAGTTCGCAGTCATTTAACTTATTTGAATATTTTGAGAAACATTTCGAGAGAGTGAGAAAGTTTTGGACCATCCTCGTACGGTATGCTTCACAACTTGCTTCTTAATTTGCGTCTCAATGCTGCACTCTCTAGGTTATGTTTCTTGAGGTTTAGGCGACTTTTCTCGTGGTGCAGATGATTTCGTACCGCAATTTGACTTGTAAAGTGGACATTGTGTTTGTTTCAGACAAGAATATTAGCTGTCATGGATAGAAATCAACCCTCAGTAGAGACAGTGAGAGTTGCATTGGTAAGTACATCATGTCAGTGCTGTTGATGTTTTGTGAAAAATCATTGCAAGAGAAGGAATCTGAACCTTATTATTGTTTCAGACCCCACACTTTATGGATCGGATGCGAATGCAAATGGAAATCAACAACATGAGGATAGCAAGACTTCTGGAGGAAGCTGAGGGGAACGACAGACTGATAAAGGAACTACTGTCGAGGAAAGATGCTGGCACAAAACCTCGGGCCAACAAGCAGCAAAAGAAGACAATGTAGGTTTAGGTTTGTGCTGTTATGTGTGCTATGACATGTTGTCTGCCTTGCTTCTATTCTCTATACCCTATTCTTCATACCAGTTCCAAATCATGGCACTCACTTTTAAAATGGAATAATTTGTTCTTCTCTGTAATTTTAAGTACCACTGAAACAAGATCTGAAAAAGGAGAGTAAATAAAAAACACTGTAGCCTTTTGGAATTGAATTGAATTGAAGATACCCAATAAGGAAATTGAACTGCATTTTTCATAATTTTATAATTTACTTAAATAAGACCGGTTGTTCCAATTGACCATTTCACTCGGTGGCCGCACTGGCGGTCTTCCGGTTGGTACAACATCTGTTTGTGGCCCTCGAGGCGGCCTAATATGTGTTTTGTGGTTTCCAACGCAAAATTCGAGCTCTCTGACAACTAAGCAGCGATCAGGAGTCACATCCAATGAAATATTCTAGTCCTTACTAGATCATAAAGGACGTTGTACCAACCGGAAGACCGCCGGTGTGGCCGCTGGGTGAAATGGTCAATTAGATTTCTAAAAGGCGACACTGCCTTTTACTTTGCTTTTTCAAATCTTGTTTCAAGTACCTAAAAACAGAAAAAAAGATAGAAGTTACTAACAATTACAGAGAAGAATTATTAAGACTTGCCAAATGAATAATTTTGTTGTAATACAGTATTTAGTTTAGATTTATACTTTGAGTGGATAGTATTAAAATTAGGTGCACATCATCTTGTCTATATTAAAGTAAGTTTATAAACATTAATTTAAGTGAGAAGGAACCAATATGTCACTTATTGTCACTCATACTGGTCAGCTATTGTGAGCCGCTGGCACTCGGATCTTTGATTTAGCTTTCAAAGTGGACTGATGGTCTGAAGACCTTACAGGCCAAGACTGAAAATTTCAGGGAAAATAAGTCCAATTTTAAGGTTTATTTTAAGCCGCAACCCGTTTATATTCTCATCAGGAGTAAGAAAAATAAAAATCAATATGTACTTTTTCACTTTGTTTCTCCAAGTTAAAATAACTTGCTTTTACCCAGTTTACTCATGCTCCATCTAGTTTTAATCAGCATGGCAACTGGTTCAAAAAAACTTTGGGTGGGGCCAAAGTGAGTTCTAGGATAGATTAAGCTTGGGTAATTTTTCACAAAGTCAAAAACTACAATTTTTGCCAAATCTCACCTAGATTTTTCCCAGACCTCAAGAGGTGATTGTTGAGGTCTACTGGTAATACTAAAAAGAATTCTCAACTATAATTTTTTTTTCAAAACCTCAATATGAGGTTTGTGGTGACTTAGGAAAAAATGACCCTATATGATTTATAATGGAGTGTTTGTTCACAAATAAAGTAGCTAAGTTTTAGGGGAATTAGTAGCTACAGCTTTAAAAAAATGTGACAAATGTGTCAAAAATTGCCATTTTCTTAGCATACTGGCAATATTATCACCCATTGGAGGATACAATGTTGTTTTTGCAGTGCCAAATATAGCAGTTTTATCACAAATTGGAGGATACAAGATTATTTTTACATTGCAAAGATTTGGCACAAGGATTACTGATGTACTCAAAGTAGCAGAATTATCACCCATTGGAGGATACAAAGTTGTTTTGCAGTTCTTAAATAGCTCCCCACTCCCCAGCCCATTTTCAATATTAAGGACTGTACATTTATAGTATGTTGGTTAAAAGACTTAGCAATCAAATCAGGATCACAATAGGGTCTTTCTGAACGGAGAGGATTATCCTCACAGGAATGTCCTTGTTCCTTTTCAGTTTTGTTTCTAATTTTTTGTGGGGATTTGTTAAGTTTAGTTTATTGAGACATGAGCAAAGAAGTCTATGTAGTCATTTTACCCAAAAGAATAGGTGAGTTGACATGACAGTAACCAACGCTGGTCCAATTTATCTCTGTACAGACTCCATGAAGAGCATCCTTTCGTGTGCATCAAAGGGTGGTTTTTGATGTTTTTAGTGGTGCCTTGGTTCTTTGTTGTCGATTTCAATCCTCCTCTGTCAAAATCCAGGCTAATTTGTTATCACTGAAAATGTCTTTTAAAAATCTTGGCAATTTGGAAAATTGTTGGAATTGGTTTGGATTGGTGGGGCAGACTCCGTTTTCACATGCTCTGTCTAAATATCATGGTGCTGACACGCTACTGCAGAGTTCTTAGCCAGTGCGCCTTAGGTAGCCTACCCACCCTTAGTTAGAGAGACCAGCTCTTATAAAACTCAAGTTTCTGTGGACAGGGTTGGTTTCCGACAGATACAAAGGTAGTTTTGTGGTGCCTGGTTCACTCCTGTCGATTTGAATACTCCTCCATCGAAATCCGGACCCGTCAATTTTCGCTAAAAATAGGAAGGCCTTTGTAAATTTTGCCAAAAATGAGACATTTGAAAATCTCTGGAAATGGTTGGGATTGGTTTGACAGCACCCTCTTACCAACGTTCCGTCGAAATTTCAATTCGCAGACCCATTTTAAGCGAGTTACGCCCGTTTTTCTTGTACCGGCTCGCCTGCTAGGTAGGCAGTCCATCTTACGCTACCCGCCAGATTCAAAAGACAACCCCTTAAAACTCAAGTGTGTCTGCCGGTCTGGACAGGGGTGGTTTCTGGCGGAACCAAAAGTATTTTTGTGGTTCCCTGGTCCACCCCTGTCGGTTCGACTACTTTTCCATCGAAATCCGGACCCACCCATTTTCGCTAAAAATGGAAAGGCTATAGCCTTTGTAAATTTGGCCAAAAATGAAAAAAAGAAAAATCGCTGGAAATGACTGGAATTGGTCTAGGAGAGTCGCCTTTGACCTCCTCTGTCGAAATTGCGTACTTCCTGCCTCTTTTGCATCCTGTTTCTTCGACTATAAAATTGCGTCTTTGGTTTGTCGCAGGAAGATCGCCCTGGAGGTGACCTGACTTGGACATCAGCAAAGCAGCCTATGAGTCATCTGCTGTATGCTGAGTTGGCGTCGCAGCACACAGCAGGAGGAATCGCTCCTTTTTCTCATGATTGCAGGAATGAATCTGGTAAGTTTTGACTGTCAATGTGATGTTAACATAAAATACCAATAAATTTATGGTAGTCATGTCTGGTAAAAGTTGTTTTTGGTATTGTTTCTATTTGGAGGTTACTTGTCATTTCTTTACTGCTTATTCTCATGCCATATATACGGCTTATTACTTGAGCCTAAAATATATAGTCGTGTTTTAATTTTAGTGCGGAACTGGGGGCAAATCATTAGGAATCACTGACAGTAATGTTGCTATTTATTTCATTTGTATGGTACAGTCGAAGTAAAATAAGAAGTGATGCTGGTTCTTGTCCAAAGGGATGTACCTGGACTTGATGGTGGCCACCTGTAACATAGAAAGTTCATTCGATGAGTTGGCGTCACAGTGATACAGATGGACCAGAACATGTTTAAGTTGAACTCTGAGATAATTTGAATTTAACTTAGATTTTTTCCATTCTTTTTCAGGTCACCAAAGTCACCAGCAGAAACAAGCCAGCTAATTGAACAAGATGTACTCTCATAATGTATGATTTGATACAATAAAGAATTCAATTACTATCCAACATTTTACATTATTTCATAGACCTGACTCTACGCTGCAGTAACTGTGGATGTAGTAGCAGACTGTCACCACTACAGCAGTGACGTCACGGGCGTCTCGGATGCAGCTCTCGT